AAAAACACAGATAGGTCACACAAAGTTATCCTACGGCCGCAATATACACCGTTCTAGATTCCCAGGGTTTCGTAAGATTCACGATCTTAGATCAAGGGAATGTTCGAACGGGTCAAGTCCAGGTGTTCTAACAGGAAAATCAATGCAACACGAAGGTATGTAAACAAAAGTTTGAATTTCCACGCAACAAGCCTCACACAGTGACTATATGACAGGTAAAGCACAAAATCAACTACCAACTTGCAATCAAAACTCAACACTTCAAAAACAGAGCAAACAATTCCTAAATTTTCTAGCACAAGCAATAGTTGTCAAACAATGACAACCCCTAATCCTAACGATCAACCCACACGATGATCTGCTAATGTTGAAATTTAAACTAAATTAAGCCAATATACCAGAGCGGACCTATCTGAATCCGTAAATTACGAGAGTTGCAAATTTGTCACTTTAGGACCACCACTATTTGTCCTAAAGTCTCTGGAAACTGCAGCAACCAAAAAATCACAATCGAGTCCCGAACGTCCGAAGAACAACGCCGTCCAGATTCTTCTGCGTACCCTGAAACAGAAAACTTCCAACACGAAAAATGTTAGAAATAATACAAGGAACAAACTGTTTGAAGGAAGCTTCCCCAGAAACTGCCGCACACGCCCACACGCGCCACGCCGGAGAAGCCACGCGCCGCCGCCGCCGGCGTCCGTCTCCCACACGCGCCGGTCACACAGCACCGCCTCCACCTGCAGATCACGAATCCGGCCTCCTTTTCACCAAACTCCTTCTGGATTGGTCAGAAAACACCAAAACAGTGGCTGATTTTTAACAGTTTTCTGGACAGTTTTTCGATCTGATTTCTGCCTCGTTTCTGCCGATTTTTTGGACGATTTCTGGTAGATTTCTCGAGCCAAAACCTTCACCTTGAAGCTCTGATACCAATTGTTGCGGAAGCTCTCTCAAAAGGATCTTCAAACGGTGATTTTCCAGGCTCAGTCCAACGTACCTTTCTCTACCAACAACCAATCCAAACGGCTCCAAACCACAACCAATTGATTCACCTTGGTTGCTATACAATCTTACCCACGTAGGACAAGAAGGGATGATGATTTATCGCCACAAAGGCTAGGAGAAGACACCACAAAGGTATACTATGAAAGAACTACCAATTGCACACGTTATACAAGCGTTTTGGACACTTCTGGACACCTTTTTCTCACACAAAAAGGGGGCAGCCGGGATTCACTAGTTTCTTCTCTCAAAATCACACAATCATCATCACAAAGAGGCTAGGGTTATATTCATATATATACTCTAGGGTTAGGCTTTAAGTTGGGCCACTAAAGGGGTAAGCGGGCCAAGATTCAAGCCATCCATAAGGAATACAATTGGGCCGGGTGTAGCTCATGCAGAAAGCTAGAAGCTTTGCTTCACAGATACAACCAAGCCTCAAATTAATTAGCTCTACTACAACATGAGGATATATGGGCTGTGCTTTTCAATCTCACCCACTACCGAAATCTCTATTACTTCTGGCAACCACAGTAATGTCAACTATCGGTATACTACACTGACCAACGAAGAACAGTTCTTGTTTTTACCGCTGGATCGACGTTAAATGTTGATGGTTGCGTATTCGACATTTTTGCAGAACATTTTCCAACACACGCAGCCAAAGTCGGTCCTGTAGTGAGGCTAATGAGGCCTACGCCTCAGACCCAGAACCGGAGGAGCCTCATTTTCTGTTCTAGATTTTTTTTTTAAAATATCATATGAAGTAAAAGGAAATCAAATTTTCGTTATTTTTTCCCTCCCACGACTGCAACTGCTCCCTACCTTCAGCCTCCGGGCCTAACCGCTCGATTCACCACCTCCAGGCTCCTCCAGCAGCCCAGCCAATCACAGATGGAGCCACAGCCACCAAGAGGGGGCCAGACGGGATAATCCTAATAATTTAAAGCTTGTAGAACTCGAAGGAGTTGGCCATCTCTTCCAGGAACTTTTACATATCCCCATCGGCGATACCTTTATGCCCTTTTAAATTCAGTTCCACTTACCAGTTCTGAGCCGTCTAATGATGCCACTGCCTGTTCTACTATCACAAAGTTTGTTTGATTTTTCTTAAATTGGGGTTCTCTGCTGTTTGGTACTGCTATAACTTCGAAGTTATGTTAAAATGAAGAATTTTTGGGGTTGTTTATGTTATTATGTATGTGTTTAGTAGTAATCTTATAGCTTCAAAATTGTTATTTTGCTAATGCCTAAAAGAATGTAAGTTGTGCGAACTTTAGCCGTTATCTTTAGTATATGTTGTTTTAACTGTGTGCTCATAGCTGATTGTTTTTTTTTTTTGTGTGTGGAATTCAAGGATTGGACACGGAATGTGTCAATGGGTACCTTTTTTGTATCTATGTATGTTTTGTTTAATTTATTTCAATTAATTGACTTGATTTTTATGCTTCTGTAGGTCATGTATAACTAAAGCTTGTGAAATTGTTTGCATGGTTATGCATTATGTTTTTCATAGTTGAGAATTGTAATTTGCATAGGATTTTGAATTTATGATGAATAAATTAATGCAATAGAATTATGTAGTAGTATTGATAATTGACTGTTTGATGTTAAATTTTTATTTCAAGCTTGTGAACTATGACATTGTAATTCTCAAGGGCGTGATTTTATAATTTTCGTCGAAATTCTACTTCTCAGGTAAGCAATGGCTTGCCCTAACATATTATTGAATATATTGGAAATGTCTGAAGCCTTGTCCACTAATATAATTGCGGCTTGGTCAGCTTATATGATTTGTTATTGCACAATCAACAATTGCACAGACGCGCGTAGTAACTATATTGAAAACTCTAATTGTGATATGGTTGAGATATTTTGTAATTATCTTTTAAGTTTTAAGTTGGCAATGAATTGCATAATACACTATTGAATTTTACATTTATGTTGACTTTTTTCTGGGAGGCGAATTTATGCCTCAGGCCTAGACAATCACAGGATCGTGCCTGCACGCAGCAGGCTTCTGCAGCAATCTATGCCCTGTTTGGCCCCCATTAATTTCCATTTCATTACATTTTGTTTTCTCTCTCTCCTATTTTAAATCACAAAATCTTCCATAAAATAATATTACACGTAAATTGAAAACTTTTCTTTCTTTTTCAACCACTTAGGGGCTGTTCTCTTCTTGTTTTAGTTTTGCATTTTTGAGTTTTGAATTCATTTTGAATTTTGTATTTTGAGTGCCTGTTTTGAAATTACTGAATATACATTCTCTTTGTCATCTGGAAAATTGTTTCTTAAAACATAAAATTGGAAAACGCGTTTACTTTGAAATTTTGAGAATAATTTTTTTATAATATTTTATTCAATAAATTTTTATAGTTTAATGTTAATATAGCCCTCATTTGATTTCCAATATTTAGCCACAAAAATAAAACATATGATCGTTATCCATCACATCAAGTCACCATATTTGACTTTTTATCTTTTGTGTGGATCTCGTAACGGCTATATATTTCATTTTCATTCTTATAAAAATGGGTACCAAACAGAGCCATAATATAAAACATAGTATTAGTTGAATTTCATAAAATTATTTCATATCAGCCGTTGGATTTTATTTTTATTTTAAACTAGTAACCAACTTCAATTTTTGTTCCAATTTGACCATTATGCACATCTCTGTAATTAAAACTAATGACTCGTCTATATCTCACCGATTATTTGAAGTTGTTAAAACCAATTCCATTTGTAATTATTTTTCATTTCCATCACTACGCAAGCAATGAAAATATACAATAGTAAGTAGCAAATTCCACCTCATTTTTAGTCGGGTGATAGTTTTTAATCGTGCATAAATACAGAATGACCAAACCAAAATAGAAACATAAATCGAAATTCAATAACGTGAAACATGTTGATGAAATGTAAAATGTCTTAATTAAAACATCAAGCGTACAAATTACTTCAAAAGCCTATAGTCCTTTTGATACAAATAACACATTTGATGCTATTATACTTACAATCAAGTATCATATCCAAAAAAATAACATCACCTCTATTCCTTTTTTTTTATTTTTTTTTTTATTTTTATTTTTTTTTTGTGATGTTAACATTCCCTCTATTCTGATGCAAAAGAATGTGTAGAAAACATGTCGTGGATCCATAACTTGTGTTTTCCATTCACAATCTGGTTGTGCAAATTTGATCTTCTCATGGAGATTTGCCATTTGAAGAAATTCAGGGCCACCGAAGTATTTTTGCTTCTATCACCACACTGTGAAACAGATTCTATAACTTAAAGATTAAAAAATTACTAGCATCAACTTCAGTCCATGTCACACAGTTACCATATACCTCATTTTTCCCATCAAAATACATTCTCAAATATTGATTTGATCTCACTTCAACCACACATTTTTCAATAAAATAATATTATACATAAAAACATGATTTTTTAACCACACATTTCTCATATTTTTTGATAAGAATGGGGCTCAAACAAGGGCATAATAATGATTATGGGTAACCTTTTTTTCCCGAAGCTATACTGTAGTATATTTTATTAGATGCAATTTTCCAAGTTATTTTAACTTTGGATGATGAAATTAAATTATAATTCTTATCTTCGACAATTTATTTTCATAGAATAAATTTGGTAATTTTGTAGTGTTATGCAAATATAACATATTTATGTTCAATAAACAAAATATTTTTTCATTAAGTACATGGCACCTAGAGCTCAGTGTACATAGGAAGGAAGCCATTAACTATTTCTAATAGGCATTGTCAAAAGTCAGGTTCTAAGCAGGCTATATATTGTACTGAAACAACACAAACTCACATCCCAACTTGATATGGACAACGGCATTATAGAGATAGATAAGTACATGGACAACCTCCCCCCCCCCCCCCCCCCCCCCCGC